GCATAGAAGATGATCCATGGCGTAAGCAAAAAAAAAAAAAAAAAAAAAGTTTTTTAATATTTTATTTGCATGTTTCTGTTGCATGCGTCTGCAGCTCTTCTTATCTGTGCAGAGTGGACGGAGGTAACCACCGAAACACTTTTTTTTTTTTTGTATCACAGCTGCAGCAGCTAGCCCGAGAAATTTTTATAGATTTTGTTTCTCTTGTGTATGGCGGCTCGAAGCGCTCTGTGTAAAGAAGAAAGCAGCAAGTAATTGCTTTCTTTGCGACCCCACTAAAAATATGAATTCAGTGATAGTGTTGTTGTGTTTTTGTTTGTTAGTGACACCGATATGGCCGCTGAGGCTATGAAGATGCTGGAGCTGCACCGCATAGAAACAGGAGGTGCGGCATCCGTTTGTTTTATTTATTTATTTAAAATAATTTTATTCTAATTATATAAATATGATTATAAAATAAATAAATATTTATTTTTTTATTATGTTATTTCTCATCAGGGACCCAAGCTTTTCTTGCACAGTGGAGAGAACTGCTGCAAATACAACAACGAAGAAACCTACCATCGACGAATATAAACACAACACCAACAGCTGCAGCCCCCAGCAGCAATTCTTCTTTTTCTAAGCAAAATTTATATAACATAGATTCTCCTTGTGCTGCAGTCGATGAACATGCTGCTTCTCCTTCTCTTCGATCTCCACTGACAGCCCCTTGGGCCTCTTGCCTCCTCGTCTCTGGGGGGGAAGGTAAGCAGCTCAACCGCACTATAACCCTTCTCCCCCGCATGCATGCATGCATGCATGCATGCATGCATGCATGCGTGCATGCATGCATGCGTGCATGCATGCATGCATGCATGCATGCTTGAATTTATTGTTGCTTCTTGCTGCGTAGGTATTAAACACCCATCAACAGAACTCCACATAAGACGCGAAGACGTGTCTCGGATAAAGATCATTTCGCAGGTGCAAAACCCTAAACCCTAAACCCTAAACCCTAGACCCTAGAAACAAGAGCTGTTTCTGCAGGTGCAATGCAAGTTTCTTGTGGGGGTGCTGGATGGCGTGGTGTTGGTAGCCATAGATCAACACGCAGCAGGAGAAAGAGTGAAGCTAGAAGAGATAGAAAACGCAACAGCTCGGCTGCCTCATCCTTCTGTCACTTCCTTCGAGCTCAGCAAACCCAAACAAATCGAGGTAAACTGCTGCTTCTTTGCTGCAGCAGCAGCAACAGCTGCTGCTGCTGCTGCTGTGCTGCTGCTGCTGCTGCAAGAGCAGCAAAAATACAGATGCTGCAGCGTGTATACTGCACAAGTCGAGTTAGTTTCACACCTTCGCATGCAGCTAGCCGTCCATGAGGTTTATCTAATCAAAGAAACGGCACCAGCAGTAAGCACAAACTTGAGCTGTAGCTGCAGCTGCTGTCGTTTGTTTGTTTTCTTTGTTTGCATATATATATATATATATATATATATATATATATATATATATATATATAT